TTTTTTTTTTTTTTTTTGGTGTGTATTCCTAACGTGGGTTAACTGAGTTCAGTGCAGCTTGCTGCATGCCAGGCTGTTGGGTTTTTATGTCCCATGATGGATTCTGAAGTTTCACTGACACTTCTCATAAAAGCAGGTTTCTGACCAAAACTTTCCCTCGGGTGTAATGTGGGTTGTCCATTGGCCTCTGCCCCAGAGGCAGCTGCATTTCAGCGGTGGTATATATAATCGAGGAAGCAAGCCTGGAGTCTTTGGAGTGAAAGGTGATATCTCATCATTAAATATTGCTGTATAGTCTCCAGTGCTTTGTGGTGAATGGTTTTAAAAAGATGGAGTGTAAAGAGGTTTCCAGGATTTCTGATATTTTGCAGAGATTAGGGATTTAACTGTGTGTCACATGAGAGAATGTGAGATCCAAAGGCAACATGACAGACGTGGGGTTCGAGAAGATGTGGGTTCCCCTTCACATTCATGGTAACACTCTCAGACTCGTGCCTCAGTTTCCCCCCACTTGAACATGTCCAATAGAATTTTTTTTTTCTTTTTCATCTTAAGGCATTTTGGACTCTATGGGTGAAACAAAAGCAGTCTCAGTAGCCACAGTCATGGCTGGGAGTTGTGTACTATGGGATTTGGACAGCATCTTGCAATGTTGCTCCAAGATCTCTGCTGGTGCTCCTGGTGCTTGAGCAAGTCACGCAGCAGGACAAACGCTGGGCAGCTGAACCTGGCTGGCTTGCGTTTGTCTGATCAGCGTGTGCTTGTTGCTGATGTGGTTGCTCCTGTGCATAGGGCAAAAGCCGTGCCAAGTATTATGCCCACATTCATTTCATGGAGAATCCCAAATAGATGGATTTCTCCTCCTTACCATGGGCTCTCAACTCCATTTTTGTCCTCACAAAATTTTCAGTTTAATCACTTTATAGCCCTGGCATCTGAATACTTGAGCGGTGGCCTGAGGCAGGAGAAGGGAGCTTATTCAGAGCCCTTAATGGGAGACATCTACTATCACCCAAAGGGAGGTCTTGTATGTCAGGCCTTTGCCTCCAGAAGTGTGTTTGAGGTACCCGGAGGAGCTGATGGGAGACGTGTGAGCAGCCGTAGCAAGGCTGAGCACACAGGCATTTGATTATTTCTCAGTACTTATCAGTGGAAGCGTGAATCTCTCTCTAATTAAGATCTAATGCCAACTTCTGTGAAATTTGTTGTCATTCACCTGTGAATTATCCTCCTCAAATTTAACTTGACTGCAGGAAACCTGCTAGCAGTAACACTTTCCTCCGGGAGCTTAATTTGGAGGGTAAAACACTTCTGTAGTTGCTTATTGAATGGGACTTGATGCTGGTGAGCCTCAGAGGCCTGGAAGGGCAGTTTGGGTGAGCACTTTAAAGTCTAGACAGCCGCTATCTCTTGAGTGTTTAAAATAGAGCTAGAGGTCTCCTGGAAAATCCGCTGCCTCCCTAGATTTCCAGATCTGCACATTGCCAGCTAAGGCAGAAGAGCTGCTGGAGGGAAGCCCTGTCCCTTTAGCGCTTCTGCTCGAAAGCAGCCTGGAGAGGGGAGATGGAGAGGATTTCAATAGAGGTTACATGTTCAGAAGCCTAAGTGAGGTTTCCTAATTAGTCAAAGCACAGGTAGCCTGCCCAAACAAGAAAGACAAGTATAATGTCCCTGCACCCAAGTCATTTAACTATTAACCCTGGAGGAGAGTAAGGAGATACCTAAAACAATGACCCAGTTAATTCTGCGTGGTGTTTGAGCACGGGGTTATTTGTTGCTACCTGCGGGTCTGGTGATATCATCATCTACAGGCTCTCAGCAGAACAGGAGACCAACATTTTTAAGTGGGATTTTTAGGTGGATTTGAAGTGAACTCACCTGACACTGGTGTAATGCAATGACATTATTAATCTGTTGCTTGTTTCCACTGACCTGGAGGCACACAGCCAAGCAGGGGTTGAACGTTTGGGCATGATGACCCAGAGCTTGGGTCTAAGACCCACAACAAGAATTTGCAGCAGACATTTGGCTTTATATTCACCCTCCATAAAACATTACCCAATGAATCAAAACCTGAAAGATCCTTCCTAGCTCGGAGCCGTGAGTTTTACTTCAGCTCCCATTCAATGTAGGGTTCATCACACCGGTGGCTGTGGTCCCTTCAATGCACCATTGGTGGTCGCAGACTCATCCCACTGCCCTGCCTGCTGAGCTAGACGCTGTCTGCCAGAAGCTTTCTCTTTTTTACCAGCATCGAGAGAGGTTAAAAGCCTGTGGGCGGAGGCCAGCACAGAGTGCCCATTGTACATGCGTGCATACCAGAGCAGTAACTCCCTGGAATGCTGCACCGCCAAGCTTTTACCACCTTGTGTTTGTTGCAGCCCAAGAGTGTGTGTACACTGTGTCCCTCTCCAAGGAGATTAACAATGCAAAATGGCAGATAAATAGGACAGTTTTGGGGTTTTTTTTATTGGACTGGTTGGAAGAGGAAGGTAACCCTGACTCCCATCACCTCCATAGGCACAAAGGAGAGGCAAGGTGCAAGGTCGGTCAATTAGGTGGAGCAGCTCCTTGCAACTGGGTGGCTTTAATGTACTAATTGCGTTAGTAATTAGCTACTACCACATGGTAAACACTTGGGTTCAAAACTATGTAAAGGCATTAACTAACCCACCCTACAATGGGTTTGAATGAGGTAAGTGTTATCCGTGTTTCACAGGTGGTGAAATGGAGAGACTTGCTGACCGCAGGGTGAGTCAGGGCAGGTGTGTAGGAGACCTTGGGTCTGTTAGTAATTCAAGATCACCTTAAATGAGACCAGTGACAGCAGCTCTGGGAAATGAGTGTCCTCCCTGTTGCCAGAAGATGTGCAACTTAAGCATAAGTGTTTTTATGGTGTACTTCTATCTACTATGAGCTACAGAAACCACCCCTAAGGCCAGATGGCAGATCAGGCTCCATGATGGTTCTTCCCTTTTTTTTTTTTTCTTTTTTTTTTTCCTTTTTTTTTTTTTCTTCTTTTCCCCTCACCCCTGCTGGGGCTGTCAGCTTGTGCTCCTTATGGGAACTTTATTTGAATTTGTGTCTGCTGGGACCTGGGTGGAGGTCACCCAGTGATTTCATGGAGCTCTTGGATGCTTAGGATTTTCCATTAGTAGCCATATGTGCCAGGGTCAGAGAAGTGACCCATGGCCACACTCCAGTGGAAATGTGAATATAGAACTAATAAAAGGTGCTTGTTGTTGGGTTTTTTTGAAATCGAAGCTCATGCAAGGTATTTTTAAAAGGCATAAAGAAGCCAGGGTAACAAGGGCACATGATTTTTCTTGGTGAGCTGTGCCTTAGAGTAGTCTGTGATAACGCGGTTATGATTTAGTGATTGGTAGCAAGATCATTTTTGTTTCTCCTTTATGGTTTATTGCTGCTAAGAACGCCCTGGGAAATCCCTGGCTGTGCTCAGCTCTTGGTTGCAGTCGGTTGAGGGGTGGGGTTTGGCAGTGTGGCAGAGCTAATCTAGCAGGGAGCTACTGCTGAAGCAGTAGGTCTGCACCCCCAGCACCTACTCCTGGCAGTGCCTTCTTATTTCCCTCTCTGTATGCCAGAAGTGATACTCCTCTGACCCACCAGGGAGCTATTTGTGCTAAAGTATCAGAAATTATCTTTGTTTCTCTCCGAGATACTCTTCTGCTAATTTTGTAGCCTGAACTATCTTGCTATGATGAGTGGGGCGGGATGCCTGTATGGGGGATCTTAGGGGAGGTGTATGAAAGCATTTCAACACCTTTAAAAACACCCTATGTGTAATTTTTTTTTTTTTTTTTTAACTAAATGTTTGGTATTTGGCTTAGCCTTCCTATTTCATTGGGTCATACATCTTCTGCCTCAGTTGAACATTCACAGCTTCTCCCATTGACTTTGGCTGAGACTTTGTAAGCTACCAAATATGAGTGCTTCCATGTCAAAGGGTTCAATTTGCGATGTTTTAAAGAAAGCCCACATTTGAAAGGATGAGAGCACAGTCTTTGCTTCAGTCAGCCCAAGACTTTGCCACAGAGCAGCGGTACCCAAGGGCACAAGGAACTCTGGGAAACACTGAGTTTAGCTTTACTCCATCACCCTCAATACTCGAGTCCCTGATATGCCCTGCAATAGACCCAGGTGGATCCTCCTGCACTTCCAGCATCCGAGAGAGCATCTTGGGCTGCAGACAGTGTGTGCGTGCCCAATGTGTGGAATGAATAACTAATGCAAAGTATAGTTCCCCCTTGGAATAGCTGGTAGCTGAAGGCATCTCTCTCTCACCTGGGAAGCGGGGAAATAGGGAGTTTGAAACTCTTCTGCCTGATCGATGGGGCAACACTGCTTTCTGTGCTCTGATCACTGGGTTATTGTTTAACTTGAGGCAAGCAAGCCTCTGTCTCTGTTTCTCCCCCACCCGCCCCTCTACAAATGCTTGTGACAGAGAGCACTTTGAAATAATGAGGAGGTTCACGGGTACGGAGAGCTGGCTACCCCCTCCTTTGTTTCCCAAGTCCAGAGTTGAAGGGCATTTGCATTTATACACTGTTTTTGTTGTTCTTTTTTTTTAAAAAGTATATTCATTTTCATCAGTTTAGCAATACATGTGGCCATTGTTCTTTGCTTTGTGGTACCAGTTCCATCCCTCAGAAATGCCAGCCAACCTCGGTTCCCATTTTGCTTCAAGGAAGGCCCTTGAGATGCTGCAGGGGAAGCCCAAGCATGCCCCATTTCAGTCATCTCCACACTCGTGTTTGCTACGTGTATACGTGCTAACTTCCTTTTTTTTGTTTTTTCTCCTTTCTCTTGACAGTGGCAGACTTGGTGTCTTCTGAGCTCCTTGCAGCCTCTGGGCAATCGGGACGTTGAATTTGGCGGACAGTTACCATTTATTTCCTGGGATTGTACCTGCTCTTGCTCTCCTCAACCCCTCCCGTGCTCCCCTTCCCTCTGATAAAACTCCAGGGCGTTGCGGTATTGCTATGGAGCCCAGGGAGACTTTGGGCAGCTCCCGGCAAAGGGGGGGTGAGGCAGACTTTCTGCCAGCTGCCATCACCTCCACGAAGCCTCCGCCTGCCTCTGGCTGTGCGGGGGGGACGATGCGACTCCCGAGATCAAAATCACCATCAAGCAATCTGGGGAGCAGAAGCTTTCCAGAGCTGGGAAAAATAGCAAAGCAGCTAAAGAAGAGGACAGATCACACTCCAAAAAGAAGGTAAGTCCTATTCTTTCTTGTATTTCCTCTTTCTCCTGAAAGCAAAGGGACAGGGCAGGATCAAACCTGCTCAAAGGGTTTGTGTCTGAGGCATAACCTTTGCAAGGTTTGCAAAGCCCCGCTTGGCTGCGGAGAAGGTAATACACGGTGGTATCACCCTGCACGGCCGCGTACACTGCAAGGATGATCTTGACCTACCCTTCAGATGAACCAATTTGGAAGGGATCAAAAGTTCAGCTGGGCATCTTCTATTTTTGTGTGTAATTGAGATTTAAGATTAATCATTACATGAGTGATAAATGAAGGACACCAGTTCTAAACTGCTTTGTGTCTAGGCGCTAATGCTCGAGCCTTTTGGCAGTTAAAGCTTTTGACTACATTTTTAAAATACAGGTATGTGCATGGAAAACAATTGAATCCATTCCTGTATACCAGGCGAAGGGCTCCATTATTCTTGATTACAGCATTGTGCTAGCAACACTATAGTTATGCTTCAGAAAATACTTCCATTATAAGTCTCATTTTCTTCTGGATGCGTATAATTTTCTTGAAATATCCTTCTGGAGAGAATTTTTTGGTACTTTAAGTTTGCATAAAAATTGATCTTTTGTTTTTATTTTTTTTCATTTAGTCAAGGAGAGGAAGAGGGAGAGGAAAAGAAAGAAAATCTTTGCTTTGTATGAGCTGTTTTCAGGAGCACTCTTTTGTTTTGTTGTTGGCTTGATTCCCTCCTAGTAATGTCCCCTACACTTACTCTTTAAAACAAATTTAGTTCAAGTGTTTTAAGCAGTGCTGGTGAGGGGAGGGACACCTGGTGATTACTCATGGTTTTTTGGGTGTAGTGGTGTTTTCTGTCCTAGACATTAGACAAAGGAGCTTTGCTTGGGTTGAATCTTTATCACAGTACAAATACTTCACCTCTGCCTCCTTAGTAACACATGGGCATCATTATGCGCTCAGACAGGAATCCAGATTTGATGAAAGACTCATGAGTATATCCAAAACCTGGACAAATTCATCTGGGATGTAGGTGTCAACTGATTAGAGCTTGGGGCATGACGGCTTTCCTGCTCATGCAGGTTGTGTCCTTTGCTGTGGAGAAGGTCCCCACTTCTCCCATACTGTATACGCTTGATGAATGCTCACAGGGCTACCTGAAGCCTTGAGGAGGCTAATTGCCAACGGCTCTCCCTGGAGACAGTCTCCTCAGCAAGCTGACTGAGACCAACGTTCTGATAACTCTAAATCACTTTTTGAAGCATCAGTGTTTCCCATTGACTCAAGGCAAAGCCCAGGGAGATTAACATTGCTCACTCTGAGAGTACTTGTCTTAGAAGATGAACTTGAAAAAAAACCCCAAAAATCAAGGTGATTTTTTTTTTCTCAGAATCCTACTAAATGGCATACCCTATGTGTATGAAAGAACCAGTGCTTTTTAGCACAGCAGAGGTTTGGCCCTATAATAAACTGAGAAGAGATTTTTCCCACCTATTGAGAAGGATGGGCTGTCATTTTAGCACTGAGCAATGTCTTATTTCCACTTCCCTTTCCACCCTGAATACTTGCAGATGTCTCAGGGGAACCAGTGGTTGTGTGAGACTATGCTCAGTGACAGCAAAGATGTCACAAGCAGTCCCTCCATGGCCATGCAGGGAAAGAAAAAAAAAGACAAAAACCAAGACTTGCAAACCACTGCCTACCGTGCGAGGACCATGGAGAATGCAACCGATTAGAAGTTGGAACTTTGATTTCTATTTATCACCTGGTCAGATGGATGTGGAAGGCATGGTTGTTCCTTCATGTGGCCATCCAAAAAGGTTAAATAAATAAAGCTAACTATAAGGAAACTACATGCAAAAAAAAACCCCAACAACAACAAAAAAAAGCACCTTGTAGTGTGGTTACACTCAGGGTGAGACTTTAATTGCAGAAAGATAAGGAATTTGAAAGAAGTGGATCATGGCCCAAATGTGGCTGCATCCAGCTTGTGCTTGTGCTGTGAGGTCCGATCTGACTGATGCCATGTCTGTGTGCAGGCTGGAAGTGATTTGGTAAAGCATTGGCCTAATCTGTCCATTAAAACCAAACAAAAAAACCCCAAAACAAAACAAAAAAAAACCAACAAAACCCAACCCCAGCAGGTGGATGCTCTGAGCAGATGGGGAGAGGGCTGCTGCACCGGCGCATCCATTAGCATAACACCCAACGGCTGCCGCGCGGCAGCCGCTCGGGTGATCTCAAGGGGTTTGATGCCTGGAGACCTGCAGCCTGCATCGCCACGATGCATCCCTGCAGCGGAAGGGATTTCACATGCAGCTTTCTCTTCATTCATGGCTTGCAGGACCAGGCCTTGGCTGTGAACATCTCGTATCAAGGGGTGATGAAAGGCACTGCAGGAAAGGGAGGTCAGAGGTTGGTGGGAGAAGGGTTCCAGTGCTGGCAGCGCAATTGCCTTTGTGGCTCATCCGTGTGTCTTATGCCAGTTACAGGGTTTTCTGGGGGAAGATAGTTAGGAGGAAAAAGCAAGTTGAAACTCGAATGGAGCTGAAGCTGTCTGGCCCACCTGTGGGCTTCCCTGGGAGAGAGGAGCGTGCAGGTACCTTCTGCATGTACTTGCAGAGCTGTTGAAAGCTGCGGTAGCGGTTAACAAAAAAAAAGCGATTGTCACATTTAACTGATTCTGGTGGTTTTGATATTTCAGAGTTAGGCTGTTTGATTGCCTGTTGCTTTAATCAGCACAAACTCCAGAAAAGCAGCTATCGGCAGCACGGAGCAATGCATTTAAGCCAGTGGGGCAGATCTTCAGCTGGCACCACTCCACTGTCCTTTGTGGATTTTTGCCAGGAGAGTTTGGCCTGATGTACACATTTTCTTTGTGTGTGGGAGCAGCATAATTATTTGAGTTTACCACCTCACTTAGGCATATATACAGGTCCCATACAACCATATATGAGGATGGAGAGCTGAGTGTGAGCCGAGCTTCAAGTGCCATGCCTGTGTTCCAGTGGCTGGGTGCAGTTGTCCTTCACCTCATGGAGTAGCACCTGAATTCATCTTTCCCTCTGAGGAGGAGCAAACTCTATCAGGACTTGAAAAAATCACTTGAATTTGTTGCATAATAATTTCAGCCACATCTCCAGTAGTCCCCAGTGCTTTGAAATACCACTTCAGCGTTCTTGCAGGAGTTTCAATACACACAGCACAGAGGGCAAGTAATGAAAACATGGAAGCAATTTAAGTAACAGCATGTGGGTACACAAAGGACTGGTAATGCTAGCAATGTAAAAAGGGGCTGTGAACTGGGGATACAGCATTTATTCAGTGGCCACTTAGGGAGGAAGAAGATATGCCTGTTCCTAAGCTTTCCACTGCTCTGCTAATTAGGCAATAGGGGCTGGTGCCTGATTTCTAAAGCTGTGGTCCAGGGAGCGGCAGTGATTAGAAGGGGCTCTGTGGAGAGCCACGCTGCTCGTGTGCCGAGGCCTGGGTTGTTGGGGTTTTTTTTGCCTTTGATTCCAGCTGCTACACTATATTAAAAGACGTAAACATATATTAAATACTTTCCTCATGTTGCTTTTCCGTGTGAGCAATCGCCCCGGGGATGTTATGCGATCATGAATGGGAGGGGAGGGAATCCAGGAGAGGATCTGGCTGGGTGCGGTTGCTGGTGCCCTGGAGCGGGGAGGGAGGCAAGGGGTGAGAGAGCATCAGCGTTGGGAACCTCTGCTCTGCCAGCTCGAATGCTTGGCTGCAACCCAACAGAGCTTTTGGGGTTTCTTTTAAGTCGTGGCCATGCCAAGTTTCACATCAGCTTCCCCTTCTTGAAAATAAAAGTGAAGGTAGTTTCCTAACCCCTTTCCTGGGGCTGCTCAGAAGGTGAATCGTAGCTTGGGCTGTCCGTGCAGCGATTGGAAAGTGCACAAACGTTCTGTAAGTGTTTGCTCTCATTTCAACCCTTTGGCGCCTGGGGATGGAGTGGGCTGAACCCTTGCCATGTCTAAATCCACAAATGGCTCCATTTCATTTAGTCTGATTGGAGAGGGAGGCAAGAAGAAAGCCAGGAGCCCAAAGGATGTCCTGCTGGCATGTTGGCAAGCCCTGCAGCCGCTGCTCTCCCACCTGCGGCAGGGTTGCTTGAGTCCAGCGTCCTCAGCATCACTAAAGGTACCTTTTTCTCCAGATAAGGAAACATGCTGTCAGCCTGGAAGGGCACTGAAAGCATGGCACCAAATGCAACAAAGCCATCCATCAGCATTCCTTGTCTGTCATGTAGCATTTAACAAGCCCCAGATGAGCAGTATTTCCCTGGTTTTGTTTTATTTCCTTTTTTTCCCCTTCCCTGCATTTGCTGCTCTGCCTATTTTGTTGTGTCTGCAAACACTTCATTTTCCACCCCCTTCTTTCTTTAGGCACGGCCTGACAAAGTTTCTTTGGAGCTTCCTTCATATGCATAATGTCCTGCTTCGGGGGATGTAAACTCCTTTTTTTTTTTTAATTACTATTGCACTCAGGTTTTTTTGAGAGCTTGGGATGGGTGCATGTATTTTATTGCTGAGAGGTAAGCAGCAGCAAGTCAATTGGAAGTTAAGCTTCCTTGTGTGCAGTCAGGGGAAACTCTATCCTTGGATTTTCTTGCTTTTTTTTTTTTTTTTTTTCCTTTGAGTTCCTGTAGCTATTTGCCATTTCTCCACAGGAAGCGGTTATAGCACTTTTTCCCTTGAAATTCAATTTATCTTCTTCCTTCCTCTGCCCCACACACGCAACTTTCTCCTGTGGTTTGCTTTTCCTCGAGGACTCGCTCATTCGCATGCTTTCCTCTTTGAGCCTCTCCTTCTTCCAGAAGACCATGAACACTTCCCCCCATCCTCCTTCCCCCTTCTTTGCATTGCTGACTGCACATTGCACTTTCCCTGCAGGTTCTCATGTGCATCCGCAGCTCTTGTAAGATTACCCCTGTGCCAAACTCCTCTCCCCGGTGATTTGTGTGCACGATCATCCAA